ATGGGGGGTGGGGGAGAGAGAGAGAGAGAGAGAGAGAGAGAGAGAGAGAGAGAGAGAGAGAGACCTTTCATCTGTTAAAGGTTAAAGCCAAGGAGTGAACTGTCTGAATCCATTAAGGATGAAAGGAAGATAGCAGGAAAAAGAAATCTCAAAGGTATTTCTAAATAAGGTTGAGGGGGTCATTAAGCCACTGAAAAAATATAAGGTTATTTCCTTGGCACGTCATCTAAGCATTTTTATTCATTTCTGCTCTGAACAGGGCACAGGTTTGTCTATTTTTCAGTCCCTTATACTACAAGGGATGTTCTGTATTTTTGGGCTGAAGTGAAACCTCACCTTGTGACTGAGATTGAAGCCTCAGCATCTGGCCTTCAGCAGAAACTGAGCTCATCACCACATCTATGCCTCACTTTGTGTGCTCCATACCTTCCTTCTGTCTGGCATGTCATAAAACCAATGTGACACTGAGGATGCAGCTGAGAGGAGAGCAGTGATTGTGCAGCCTGCCCACTTTCTTGCTGACTCAGCCACCGAGGTGCTCAGCTCATTTCTGCAGGGCTAAAGCAGCTTCCTCACACTGGAGGCAAGGAAATATTTTTAATTGACTAGAGCCTCCCAGAAAGCCAAAGCTAATTAGTTCTCAGAGAAGCTGTTCTAAAGGTCTTGTTTTTTAGTTGTAGAGCTAAATCAGAGTTGCAGAGATGGGCTGGCCCTCCATCATTCCTATCAAGCTGCACTGGTGACACCCAGGTGAACTTTTTTGGGGAAGAGCAACTCCCTCCTCTGCGTGAGTGTGCTGCAATTGTGAGTGAAGCCAAACGCCATTGATTATAAGGAAAGCAGAGCTGAAAAGGTCAATGACCTCTGGCTCAAAAAATTTGGAGTCCAGTTTCAAGGCATGTCACACAGCTGAAATACTGAAATAGACCCACTTCAAAGGGGAAGAAATTAATAGTGTGAGAGCAAATTACACTCTGCCTTACCACATGGTTTGTTCTGTGATGGTAAAGAGGAACTTAATTTGATTCAATGATTATGGTTTAACTTTGGAAAAACACTGTCAGGTAAGGACAGACAAAATGAAAACTATGGATCCATAGGGGAAAGACTTGGTGCAGACTGGAAGGGAAAGCTGATGACAGTGACATGTTGTTCTACAAAACCTGAAATGTGAAGTGGATACCACAGGAGAATTAATGTGGAAAATGGAGATAAAACTTGAAACTCTTAAGAATGTTGGAGGCTACAAAGGTGCAAAAATGGAAGATATACTTGAAACTGAAAATTTGCATAGATACTTAAACAAAACCTGAATGAAAGAGTGATTCACTTTCTTTTATGTGACAAAGGGAAACTAGAGAAGCAGATTAACTATCTAGAAGAGCAAATGAAAATTACTTTGTAAATTTGTTAAAAAGAAAAACCAAAATATAAAACATCTTTACTTGTACAAATGTGGTCTCTGTTGTTTATTTAATTAATGTTTTCCAACATGCAACAGGGTGCCCAGTGATCAGAACAGGCATCAACAGTGTTTATAGAAGCAATCTGGATCCCTCAAAAAATACCAAGAACTTTGTATAATACAAATTGAACAGTGTTTACACCACAAACATATTTTAATGATGGTAAAAAAAATAAAAGACACACACCCAAAATAAATTTTCAATGCATTTTTCTTACTTAAAAACTTATTTTACCCTCCTCAAGATCCATGTGTGACATACACATACATGGATGTGATAGTGGAGTGCACTGAGAAGAGATAAGGAAAAGGGATCTTTCTGCAGATTTTAACACACTGTGGATTAGGCCCCTTAACAGTGTTATGTGACGTGGGAATTTGGCTTTGGAACCCCAGGCTGGGACAAGTAATTGCATCTGGGAAACAGAGTTTCTGTTTCTTCCCAGGTTTTTTGTGGTCACATTTTTGGAAGATCAATTTTGACAGTACTTGTTTAAATATTTCCTTACTTCATAGTGAATGAGGGACGAAAATGGCCCACAGAAATATCAGGAGTAATTTATGAATTCAATCATAGTGAAAAATGTGAATTAGACCCTTTCTGCTGTTCTTACAGGGAGGTAATCTAGCCAACACTCAAGATACATTTTATGTCTTTCTCAGTACATTTCACAGTCTTGTTCTTTATCATTAGGTTTTTTAAGATGATAGAGCCATAAAGAGTTAGAAAAAATTAGAATATAACTACAAAGAAGTCTAAAATCATCTATGCCCATAACCCTATAATACATGATTCTGAGAATAGCACAAAGTATCACAAATCTCCTCAATCTGTGGAGAAGTAGAAGAGATGCCAACACCCAGTGACACAGATAGCAGTGTACTGTGAGGCCATGAGGTACGTTCCACGTACTCAGGACCTTTCTTTTGCTAGAGATCACCTTGGGGAGAACATATTTAACTACCTTTTCCCAGCAGTGCTGACAGGCAGCTACCTTATGATAAGCAGTGGTTTTCCCATGCTACTTAATTAAAGGGATTTCCCTAACTATTTAATTATGAATGAATTTCGTAAGGTCTGGAAAATATATCTAATGAAATAGCAACAGTTTGTGAGGTCATACAGCAGGACTGAAAATAGGGGTAATTTAGAACTGTGGCTGAAGTGAATAGAGTAAGAATCCATGTGTTCAACACAGGCTTATGACACAGTTATATCTGACATTAGTCCCCTGTGCACACACACCCATTACTTTCTTACAGATGACAATTCCTGTCAACATAAAACAGGTCGTTTACTGAGACAATATGGCATCATCAATTCTCTTATCCTTTACCAAGCAATACATTTGCATATGATTTAGATGCACACATTTCTTACAGTGACAACTGGCATCAGGATAAAGGCAGACAATCAAATCTATTACGAAGCAGGACAAGAACCACCTCTTTGCTTGACATTTCATTAATAAGCAATGCACAGCTGCATTACTCATGTCTCAAAATAACACAGTTGCCAAGCACAACTGAGTGCAGATTGAAAAAGACTTTACCTTGTGGTGAAATAGCAAACTGAACCTTCAACTTCTATTTAAAAAAGGTGTCTATTGTATACACTGCCTCAAGACTCAACAGGTTCAACAGAGAGAATGACAAAAGACCTCCCTGTAACTTGTCTTTCAGAGCTAGTTCTTCTATATTAGCTCTCTGAGAGAACTTCAAGCTCTATTTTATATGTCATAAAGCCACTTTATCCCCTAACAATTATAATTTTTCGTTTCTGGGGGGACTGAACCCTTCACAGGAGCTAGCACAAACAAACTAAGCCCAAGAAATAAGTAAATACATAGGACTTGTTAAAACAAGCCTTGTCCAGACAGTGGGCTGGACTGGAGGGAGGGAGGAAAAACAGGACGGGGGAAGAACAGAACAGGATTGACCCCAGCTCAGTGTGCCCAGAGCTTTAACAAACTGAAGGAGACATTATAAAATTTCAAATTCTTTCTTCATTGTGCAACAACAGCTGCTTAAATCTGAAACTGTGCAGTCAGCAAGGTGTACAACTGCTCTAAGACCTCTCAGTGACATCAAGGCTTCTATAAACTGGAACACTAAAAATGGGAAACAAAGTTAGACTGCTATACTCACCCATTTTTAGGTTACTGGCTGGGAAAGTTCAATTTACAAAATGACAAGTGCTTTGCATTCACATCTCTCATTTGTTTTACAAAGCCTTTCCTGGTAATATCAATGTTATCTACTACTGTAAACATTACTACTGTGGCATTAAAATTCTATGTATAGGCACTTACATTTCAATAATCTACTCAAAGTAATCAAACAGGAACTGGCTTCTCTCTTTTTTAATGCAATATCCTTCTATTATAGACCAACATGGCACACCCATCCTTTCATAAATGCATCAGAAACAAGGTAAATATTTTTGATCTCATAGCTCTTTCCAAGGGGGTCTTCCAGACACATTCTCCAGAGCGGCAAGGTGAACAATGCACCTCTTTTTACTTTGTTTCATGGAAGACAGCCCCATCAATTTATTTGATTTTATCAACAGCTCTGTGGGATAAATTTTCCCAGTTTCTGTTCCAATTATTGAACATGTGTGCTAAGATTTGCCCTCAGTCTTCCAGATAAGGACTTCCAAGCAACATGTATCTCACATTGGTAATTCCTTCTCTCTGTAGACCAGAGGATACATTTTAGGAGGATGTTTGCCTTTTTTATAAATACATTACATAGATAGTTTGCAATAATCCTGTGATCAAGCAATAAATTCCCATTCTGAGATCCTCCAGCAATTATTAGTACTTGTTATAGATGACACTCTGTATTGCCACATTCCACCCATTTTGGTTTTTGCAGTCTTCCTAACCATTAGATTTTTCATGTTTGACATTTCAAGTTAATCATGGTGATGATCTGTCACCTATATGTTATTGATACAGCTCTCTGTTTCTGGCTGGTATCATTATAGACAGCATTATAAAAAGAATTCCTAATGATTTCTGTAAATCTCTGTCACTCCAGTTTCTGGACTTCAGTGCCATATTTCCACATTCTTCCAAAAAACTGATGTAAAGCAAGAACTTATAATAACTTGCACTTGCAGATACTATATGGGGTAGTGAAATAGGTGCATACTTTTGTCCAGACAGCCATACAAGCCTGGTGAATTATATGGGTCAACAGGAAAGATTAAGTATCTTCAGCTACTTATAAAGGGTGCATCTCAAATATAAGCACTTTCATATTAGAAACAAATCCAAATTTAAAAAATAGCTACTGGAAATTATGCAACCTTTTGCTAAATAAATCCATATGGATTCAGCTATACTGGCAGCATGCAAACAAATTGTAGCCAGTTATTTAACTTCTTTCTATCAAAAGAGTCAAGTTTAAAAATTCATTATTGCTTTGAAAGTTTTATGTTTCATCCTAAAATGATATACCAACACACACATTAAAAAATATCAGCAGGAGAAGACTCCTATCAGACTTTGAATATCCTTCTACTAACCTTGGGTGGTTTAAAAGGATAGTCCGGTGAAAAGGTTATGTCAAGGAAGAAAACTCCACCTTCATATACAGACCCTGGAGGTCCAAGTATAGTTGACCTCCATTCATAAATGTTGTCTCCTTTGGGTCCAGCACTAAAATAGAAAACAAAAATATAATAACCACATACAATCAAGGATATACTGCATCAGTTATACTCTACCAGTAGTACTGCTGGTTTTGCTGTAACACCAGAAGCTAAAATTGTGTATTACATTCATTAAGTTAGATAGAACATGCATCTGATGTCCTAAGCTCTGTCAGAGAAGTGATATATTCAGCCAGGAAGAAGTATTAAAATCACATCATAAATTATTCAAATAAGCACAGAAAAATTCTCAACTGTCTTATCTCAAATATTTTAGTGGGCAGATGTGAAGTATTTACAGTGCAAGGATACAGAGAGTTTGCTGAGATGTCTTGTCACTGTCTTGCTTCATGAGCCATCCTATTTTCACCTACCTCCTCATCCACCTACCTCCCCAGTCCGTAGCAGTGTAATTACACACATTACAGAGCACAGGCTGTACTAAAGACTGAGCAGGGTACAACCAACCTTGCAGCTGCACTTGTTCCTAACCTAAGTCTCCAGTCACTACCACAGAAGGCTGCTTTGCTCTGCAATCATTCTCCTACCTTAAAAATAATATAAGCAGGAAGTGGGTTATGTTAATTATTTTAAATCCAACAGGAAGTGTTGGATTATGTAAATTCGAAGTCCTTGGTTAAAAACACAGTACTGAAATAATATTCAAAATGTACAAAACAAAATCCTGTATGAAACAAGAAAAATCTCTCACATGTACGATGAATTCCTGAAAAAGATGAAATAAAATACTAACTAATAAAAGTTCTTGAGCATGACTCTTCTAAAAGCCAACACAGCCTCCTTTCATACAACATAATGCCTGTCCATACAAATATGTATTTTACTCAGGATGGCCTCTAAAAGCATATGAAGATTTCTTTTCTGTTCACAGACTGCTGATTACAGGACCTGAATGTTAATTAGGATCAGTTGGAATGGTGACTTCCAGATATCTGATTAATATTTTTTAGAGGAAGGCAGTGCTGGTAGATATCTCAAAAAATGATGTGGTATTGTCTGAAGGCATTTCTTGTGAAACAATTCTTGTTATGTTTGCAGTGAAGGTTTCTGCAGCGTACAGGGGTTTGTGGAATCAGTCAGTGTGTAGAACAGCTGAATGCTCTTGGCTATGCTCCATGCCTCACAATGTACCCAAGGTATACAATTATTATATGACATCATGTCATGTTCATTGCTCAACTATTCGTTTTGTTCACTGGAAGTTAATAAAACCTGCTTTCACCTGCAATTCCTTGGGCTCCCTTCATTAAAACTTCTGACTGCACGATTCCCTGAATACAGCTGCACGACTCAGTCCTGTGCAGAGCACTTCATTAGTCATGGTACCTACATCCATTTTCTATAATAGCTGTTAATGCTTCTTGGCTTTCTAAACTACCTTGCCTTCTCAACAATAATGGGTTACAGAGACAATAACATTATGGAACGTTCATTTTCTATCAGCCATAGTAACAAAACTAGCAATTGTTTTAAAGATGAAATCTGGCTTTTTAAGTGGCACAATAGCAGAAGTGTTGCCATCCATATTTCACAGTGTCGATAATACATCAGGTTGCTAGCTGCCAAACAAATTTAATTTACCCAGTTCTCAGTTTGCATTAACCTTTGAATAATAAAGCACAGCTGAGACTGCTGTAAGAAACAACCCAGAGAATGAATAATTAAAACCACCTCCACTGCCTTTAGAAAGACCAATCCTGAGTCAACAGGGAAGGTTTAATTGTGACTGAACTAGGCATTAAGGGGCTAATTGAACTCTTTATAAGCCCAAACAAATGCAATCCTACATCAGTGGTATGGTATACAATGTTCACATAAAACTCCTAAAAAAATGCAGGCAATTATTTTAAATAGAAAAGACAAGAAGCAAGGCAAGTTAAATCTTATACCAAAAAAGCCCCTAATATATGAAAGGAATCCCTTCTCATTTTCTGCAGGAAAACGTTCTAACACTTAAAGAAGCAATTTCTCAGTCGATGCCAGGAGGTTAAAATGGAAGTGATATAAATGTCATTCCCAGAGAAATGGTTAGAAATAAGTAACAAAAGCTAGCCCTAGCTCTTTTAGAATTAATTTAACCAGGAGGGAACAGTTGGGCCCTTTGTGGGTCTGAGTGAGGCTGACTTTCTTGATCAGAATTCTCTCTGATAGCAGTTTCATACTGTATATTATTTTTATTTGTTTTGCCTATTTATTTAATTGCATTAACATTTGAAATGAGCAGTCATTAATTAGAATAGTTGGAAAATGCTCCATCTGCCAGTTGAACTGTTTCAGCACGTCCAGCTACAAGCCCAGCCTGATCACATTCTGAGGATGCTGATTAACATTAATTGACGGTTTTCTTTGCAAATGAGAGATGAAGCTTTATTAAGTATTATTATTAATTTGAAGAATAGCTTAAATTGTATAGAGTGTGGGAAGACTGCTGTTATTGATGCTGCCTGTTTGAGTGCTTGCTGGCAGCAGGGCTGTTCAGCCATGTGAAATACCAGCCCATGTGCGCAGGCAACAGCTGGTATTAAGGGCAACAGCATGCACAGGCATCACAGTTTTTCATTTGTGCATTAATAATAAAAAAAGTTTGACAGATGTATTATCTTTGTTTTCCTTCTTTCTTAACTGTTAAGCCTTTTATTCGTCCACAGTATTGACAACACAAACAGGCTTCACCAGAGAAAATTCCCACATGTGCAAGGCATCAGCCAGAGACTTATCCTGTAAGGTTTAAAATGCAAGAGGATTTGATTACCCTTCTCTCTTCTACATGGCTATCTGCCCAACACACTGAAACCCAAATGTTTTACATTCAGTCTGATTTATATTCCAGCTCTATTAAAGTTACTGGCAACCAAACCACAGATCTCAAAGAAAGTGCACCAAACAGCTCAGTGCCTGAAGTTCTGTAATCTTTGGAAGGACAGATTCAGCTGTGCACCCTCTCAGCAAAAGGCAGAGTAAATCTGTCCTGAGCTCAGCTGACCCAGGGCCAGAGCACACACGTGCTGCCTGTGACAAACCTGCTGCTACACAGTCAGGTCCAAGGGAGACATAACAGTGGCGGGGCAGCTCCAGGTGGAAGTGGATGAACTGTAAGGCAGTTGGATGAACTCCTAGGAGGACAGATCTGCTGTCAGACCAGCAGTGCAGCCTCCCATTGTGAGCCCAGACGCTGACAACCCAGTGACTCTGCAGGGTGGGGCAATCAAAGAACCAGCAGAGAGGTTGTAGTGTGCCTCTGGAACTGGTGTTCTCTGCATTTCCAGTGTTACCTCCCAGGTGGAATATGTGACATGGGACCAAGGAGGTGCAGCTGAGTTCCTGGAGACTTGAAGTTATTAATGACTTGCCAAGGGCCAGCTGTCTGTTGCTATTATTTTTCTACAGCTGATGAGACCCTCCACAGAGCACTTCACCTCTGCTGAGGTTTGCTCAGTGGAAGAGCTGGAATAGGTGGACTTGGAGCCAGTTTTCTTCCAGAACAACATTGGTATGAGTGTATGAAATTCAGGACAAAGGAGTGAAAACAAACAAACAAACAAACAAAAAAGCTCTTTTTATTCCACTCTCCTTTGTCTCTCCTCTATTTCAGTTCTGCCATGGCTTCCCATAGATACTTGAAGGTGAAATGTATGGACAGCAGTTACAGTTCTTAGCAAAACACTTTAAATGCTACTAGAGCTGAATTAACTTTGCTTTAAAATATGCTGAATTAAATTTGCTTTAAAATATGCTTGCCACATGGAGTATTTTCTATTCTCTCAATATGTTTTAGGCAGGCATCCACTTGAAAGCAGTGCTGCTAAAAACTACTTGTCCAGTGCAATGCATTATAAACACCAAGCTTTCCCTGCATTTAAAATATCCTAAAATATTAAATGCAAAATAATGTATTGAGAGAGTTGTATGAAAACAAAAACACCCATGAGATATACCAGATGAAAACCTATCTGGAGAAGTTATTAAAGTACAGTTGATTTTTAGCTGTCATTTGTATACAAATGTATGTAATTTCCAGAGAATAATTTAAAAAGTGAAAATAAAGAAGGTCAAAAAACCAAGAATGTCTGCCTTGATTATCAAGTAGTCATACAAAACAGATTGGTCAAAATAATATTATCATTGTTAATCTACCTTACATTTCTTGATGAGGGGGTCACATGCTTTCCCAGTGTCTGTGACTGGAGGTAGCATAAACTTGTAGTGTGTTTCTGGTAAGTTGGAAAATGAGGACTATTTCAGTGTCTTCCCTTCTGTTCTTGGTCTCTGAATCCTGCTGGTATCCACCATTAAAGTGGAGGCTCTTTAACACAAGGGAAAGGAAAGCCTGCAGCACAAAACCTGTAGGATTTTAACTTCAATGGTTTTCCAGATCTGATACATGAACAGTGCATGGCAGGGAACTAGTCCGGCCAAATAAAATAGGAAAGCACATTTGCTGGAGGCCTTCCTATTCCTCAGGATTCAGAAAGAAATGGAAAGATTCTTGTGGAGAGAGTGAGCTTTTATAACAGTGAAGAATGAAGCAGAACCGGGATATCATACTAATACCCATGAATTCACTTTCCATGGCATTGTCTATAGCAATTCACTCCTGTTATTGCATTATATTATCTGACTTGCCTCGGCACACAGAAACACACACCCGAACCAGGCTGCAGTCTGTGGAGGATGCAGTCCCTCTCAGCTATCTCCAGTAACTTATGACAATAGGAAAAAGAAGGACACATGGAAGGCTCTTTCTCTTCCTCATCTTTTATTCTGCAGAGCCTTGGCTTCAATGTTTAGGAGTTTTCCTTCTGAGGAGAGAAGCTCGTTACGGAATTATCTCCATTTCTACGTATTACAACCGTTTCTTGCAATCCCATTTTTTGCACATCTAACAGATATACAGGAGCAGATTCTGCCTCTAGTGGCTTTCTCTGAATGCTTCTGGGAAGCCTCTTGCCTAGAGGGCAAAGTGGATACAAAAGTACCAGAAGATTG